CGTGGGCCGTCCTCCTGCAGCTCCTTGATCCTGCCAGTGGCTTCCCCTGGGTCCTACTGCCCCTGTCTTCTGTCAGCTTTGACAGGCAGCCGGGAGCAGATATTCATTTTCTAAATTTTTTAGGGGCCCTGCGGGCCAGATAGAATAGCCTGGCAGGCCAGATCTGGCCCCTGGGCCATATTTTGCCCGCCCCTGGCCTATATGCAGGTTTGCCTCTCCCCTGCTGGTCATTTGACCTGGCCACCTGGTCACAGTGGCCAAGTACTACTAATTCCTCAATCAGCAGCTCAGCATTCTGCAGGCTGGGCCCTGCAGATTATGTACCTGTGTTGCTAATGCCCACCATTTCTTGCAGGTAGGTTTTCTGCAAGCAGCACTTGCTCTTGCTGTGCACTGTCTTCAGTTCTGTTTCCCAGGACCCCAACTCTTCAGTGATTGAATATTGTTTCATCAGTGGAAGGAATGTTGCATATCCTTGGTATTTTTTACAAATAAGTGAAAAACAAACAGATAAAGTTGTATTGGATTAGTATGGATATACAATGCAATTATACTGGTTGAAAAAGAAGGGAACACACCCCCTTTTAGGCTCTTCAGTTGCTACAGTTCCATGAATCTGCTGTATCCTGCAGCAAGTGAAAGCTAAACTATGGTAATTGAGTCTAGGGACAGACTTTCAAAAAGCCTGAGCCTGAATTGATTCAATCTTTGCAGGTTGGTTGGTTGAATCAGTTTACAACTGTACAGCCATTCCCTCTGGGGTGAGGAAAGGCAGGCACATGCCTGCAGTGGCTCAGGCTAGAAGTCAGGGGGCACTAGAGCAGCCCTCCCTTCCCTTCCAGAGTTCTGAACTGGAGGGGGGGCATTGTGTCCAGGCCCAGGTAGGACGCTCTGATTAGGGAGGGGTGTAAAGCCCCACCTTGGCTGCACTGTCCCAGGCTTTTCCCCACTCACTGCTCAAGGGGTGGGAATGTTGCCAGCCCCCAGCCTCCAGCTAGCACTATGAGGCAAAGTAGGGGGTGTGCAGTGCATGCATCTGTTGATGATACTGAGCTTTTCAATCTCTCTCTCCCTGCTTCTTCATACTGTCTGCAAACCTGACAGGCATGGGAACCAGCAGGGAGTTGATAACACAGTGTTTATCAGGCCATCAACAAAACAAATGCCTTTCTCATTGGTTTAAACTGTTCCTAAACAGCTTTTTCCAAGAAAGGAATGGAGGGACATTACCAGCTGACCAGTTGATTAGCTCCAAAAAACCCTAAGTGGACACTGTTCTGTTTGCCTGTCCCAGTGAAATTGGAGACACACACGCACAGATACCTCCCAGCATTAGCTAGCATACCACATGTCTAGGGTTTGTGGGGCTGGGGTCTGTGCTGTGAAAGATGGGAGGGAGTGAGGGGGGGATTTCTGCTTTAGCAGCAAGCAGCAGAGGGGTTGGGGTAGGGGGAAGCAAGGCAGACCCTGCTGTGCCTGCAGTCTCAGCTGAGGCTCTGGCTAGGGAGCAGAGGGGCAGGGCCAGCCCTGTTCTCTGGAGCAGGCAGCCCAGCCTGGCCCAGCCCAGGACTGCAAAGCATCTAGGATGTTGGGGGACACCAGAAAGGGTGTCTGCAGCAGACATTGCGTAAACTGGTTTGACCCAAATCAGTTAAGTCTGAGACTACATTCAACCAGATTTATCTTAAACCCATTTCAGCCATTTTGAAACTGGTTTATGTGCACTGAACTTATGTTCTGTTACAGGTTTAAACCAGTTTCTGATCACTTAATCCAGTTTATGCGTAATGTCTGTCTCTAGCCTGAGAGTGGTTTCATTCCAATGTAAGCTGCTCCTATGTAGCTTAATTTCCTGAAGAATAGGAGTGAACATACAAAACAGTGATGGTACATATTCATAAGTGGTAAGTTTCACGCAAGCTTCTTAGAGCACTATAGTGGTTTCATCTGTCTACAGCCAGTGTTAATTTGAAATAAGGTATACCAAACTGCATCTGATCTTTGTCCAGAGAACATTTAATACAGTTTTTAAAATCTGCTTTAGCATAGGTATTACAGTGGGCCCATGTACATTTGCAGAAGAGCAAGAATTCAGCCCCTCTAATTTCTTCTAGTTCAGGGACATTTTCGATAGCAAGCTGCCTTTAGACAAACAATTTTGTTCCTTTCCAGATAAGATCTGTGATCAGATCAGCGATGCTGTGCTAGATGCCCATCTCAAAGAAGATCCAAATGCCAAGGTTGCTTGTGGTAAGGATACATATATTTTCTTTTTTTCCACTTAAATGAGTGCGTACAATTGCCAAACTGCCATTTCCCCTTTGTAATATATTTACATAAGAGCTTAATGTTATCACATGCTAGTTCATTCCTAACTCTAATTACAGTGTTTAGAATCTATATATAGCAAAACAAGTAAGTTCAAAACAAACAATAATATAGTGTCACTACTTTGTTTCCCAAAGAAGCACTGAAAGTACATTGTGTTCAATGATCAGAAACAGGTCAGGTTTCCGTAAAGAGTGAGCCTAGATCAATCAAACCAATGGTGTCATAAATGTAATTAGTATTCCTAGGGAAAAGAGAATAGAATTCTAATATAGTGGATCAGCCAAAGAACCCTTGGCTACCTCTAAAAAAAGTGCAGTTCCTTAGATTTATATAGACTTTTTATTTTTCATTGCCAGCTACAGTTTTATTCCTAACTGCATAAGGATTCTTCTTGAGATGGAGGTGTCTCATAGGTCTTTTGATTCACTGCAAAAACAACTTTTGGTTTCAGTGGGCACATCTACACATGCACTTAATTTGCAGCAATAAACTCTGGCACTTATTGCTCCAGAGTTTGTTGCTCCCGGGCATGCTGTTTGAAAGTGCACCTGGGACTGCAGCAGTTTGTGGGGCCAGCCTGCAGTCCAGGGCTGCTTGAACCTGGCTCAATGTGCTATGGAGGGGCTGCTTGGAGCACAAGGGTGCTCCAGTGTGGAGCACCCTTATAGCAGGCTAGTACTTGTAAATAAAAATACTACCCTGCTGTGGAGTTTAGTTTCGTCTGGCCTCATAGGTCCACACATGTTTACTGCGAGTTTACTTTGCAGTAAATGTCTCATGTAGATGTTCCCAGTAACTCGCTCTTCAAATGGAGGTACATTTGTGAATTGGTTGGTCATTGGTAGGGTTTATTTGGCCTAAATTTACCCCTTAAACAAAGAGGATGCTCTTGTGGTAAAAGCACTGGAATAGGACTCAGGAATCTTAGTTTAATTTGTACGTTGTTACATCAGGTAGGTGGCTGAAACTCTCTGGGCCTCAGTTTCTCTATCTGTAAATACCATTGATTCCCTACTTCACAGTGGTGTAGTGGGGATAAAGGGATTCATACATGTAAAGTGCTAACCCTATGGAGACCTGAGTACAAATATCTACATTGGTTGTGTTCAGTAGGGTTCTTCAGTTCAGATCAGTATTATTAGAAGCAGAGTTATTTGTAATAGCATATTGAGTTATCCAGCCAATCCTAATTCTGTTTTCTTTTAATCTTTCTTTTGTCTGTAGAGACAGTATGTAAGACAGGAATGGTGCTGCTGTGTGGGGAGATCACATCTCTTGCTGTAGTGGATTATCAGCGAGTAGTGCGAGATGCAATTAGGCACATCGGCTATGATGATTCAGCTAAAGGTTTGTAGAAAAACTCAAGAATTTGATTTCTGGGTGACATAACACGCTGAATAGGAGGTAACTACAAGATAGATCTATCTCCCTGTGCATATTTATATTCTTGCAAGCCCAAGGAAATTGTTTATCTTCTTTTGGTACTACCATGAGAGAAACATACTGCCATCATTTTCTGAAGTGGAGAAACTATTTACTTCATGGTTGAAACTTATGGCAAAAAGGGGAGCTGGGATATATTTTGAATTGGAGCATGTTGCCAATGTAGGATTAACTATTAATTTGCATATTAAAGTCTATTTCTCAAACTCACTGAAACTTGGATATTACTTAGTGGCCAAGTAAATATTTGTGACATGGAATGAACAGAGGAGATTTGGGTAATTCATTTTATTTTATTATTATTTATTTCTACTTCCCTTTGTCATGTCCTTGTGACAAAGTATTTTAGCAGAATTTGCAGACTTGGAATCTGACAGGGCTGTGCTGTGAGTGCTTCTGCTATGGACTGTCAACTATGTGCCTTAGTGCCTGCACCACCCCAGCCCCTTTTTACTTTCACTGGGGGAACACATCTGTCCTTACTACCAAATGCTTAACAAAAAAAAAAAACAGACCAAAAAGATAAGACCCTTTTCTCAGGCAGTTACAATCCAATTCAGATTTATAGAATTGTATATTGCATTAGCAATGAAAAAACAGAATGTTTTATATCTGAGACAAGTTTCAACTTCCTATACACAATTGCTGTAGACTTAGCAGTTTATTTGTACATTGCAAGTCTTTTACAGTTATGATGAAGTTTGCCTTTTGGCTGAGCTCCTATAGTTACTGCAATATTTCCAGTGAGAGTATGCTGGGAAAATGTTGTAAGAGCACATCTGTTCATTATTTCCACTGTAACCTAAACAACAATGCTGTAAGAATATGCTGCAAAGTCCAGCAACTTAGAAATTGCTTTTCTTGTGCCAGTCTTCAAAAGTAGGAGAAAGATGCACTGCACCTTGTAAAAAACTTGTCATACACAAACAACAAAAGGAGAAAAGCTAAAAAGAACAAAAACTGGAAATACTGATTTTCCTCTTGTAATATCCCTTTTCTATTGTAGCCTCCGTAAAAGCAAAGAGGGTACTGTGTTCCTCAAGTGGACACATGACAGACTGTGCATGTTTGAAATACAATTGTTTGATCCTCACGTTGGTAAGCAACTGTCAGTAATTTAGTAGTTGAAATCCTGTGAGAGGAGGAGAAGAAGGAAAAACAAATTACTTTCTACATACCTGGAGAAAGGAGATGGAAAATTCTGCTACAATCTTCTTTAAGTCCTTGGCTTATTTTGACCTGTTTGTTTGTCCTTTGAAGGCAAAATTCTGCTTTTCAGCTTGCACAGCAGATCTTGAATC